TTTTATAAAAGGTAAAAGAGAGCCAAACGACCGCGATGGTCATTCGTATAAACTTAACGCGCGAGACGTTTTCGACGATCGTTGGCTGTGGTCCATCAGAGGCGCTTCGTCTGACTTCCGCGCGCACGTGATTATATACGAATTTTGCCTTTTGGGTTCGGTGCAATAATTAGCCACGCGCGCTCGCGCGTCCCCGCGAGTCGAAAACGAAGATTCGAGTTAATGAACGACGGGCGAGCGTGCACGTCTTGTCACGGATACACGTGACACATACACAAATGTTCAACCGATGATGCGTGGAAAGCAAAAGAGCCCGACGAGTGATTTCGCAAGCTTAAGCTTGTACCTGCACTGTATAATTGAAGGAGACGAAGGAGCGAGTTACATAGCCATTTATTTGTTCAGCGCTTATTGGCTCTTTTTGCTGGGTTTCGTTTACCGACGGCGATCCCCATGAATCTCTTTAAATTTACAGTTTTTTCGAGCCTATAAATACCTCGAGCAAAGATCACCAACGACGCGCACCGTATCACGCGCACTAGTGCTGCAGCAGTAGCGGCGAGTCTTGCGCCATTCACGCAAAATTTGGATGATATAATCCCGCACGCGTTTTCCGTAAATACATCGCAAAAGCTGATCTCACCGAGGAAAGGATTGATTCTGCGCTACTGACAAGCTACGCTCGCTGTCTGATCGTTCGATCGGTGGCGGCGCGTGGTAATAAATATTCCGTGCACTTGAGATGTCTACGAGTTTACGTCGTCCGATGGAGAAACAGCACAGCACACACACACACACATACATTGTTACACGACCATTAATTTGACCTAACGGTACGTAATCGCACCGGCGAATTCGTCACTGCTCATCGTGATTTACGCGTAATTGAAACGTCATTGTAAACGCATCGCGGGCTCGTCCTAATTTGCCTACGTACAGCATTGATGTAAAACGTAACATTTTTGCATATCGATTGTCGAAATGGAACAGTAGACCAAAGTGAAGATGCTAACTAAACGTTATCGTTCAAGATTTCTCGGATCTATACGTTTCGCGTTTCGAATTTACGCATTTCGATCTAGAGAGAAAGTGAGGAATTCCGCATCGATCGCGGAGACAGCGCTCAACGTTGAAACAACGTCATTTGTATGAAGAGGATTTATGAGCGAGTGGATTGACAACGTATATACTATTGGCCAGCAGTAGTCGATTCCTACGAGCTTTCGTGTAGAACAGCAGTTTCGTTTGTAATCGTCGAGCAGAAAAGAACTGCGACAAAAATCCACTAGTCCATTGGAACATTCCGAGCTATTCGTTTAGCGTATGAGCACCGAATAGGTCGTTTCAATTTTTCCAAAGTTCATGATGTTCAATTAAATTCGCGTGGCAAGATTACAATCGCGTAAGCCAATCTAGTTGATTCAATTATATACAAAGCGAAAAGTGGCTGCTGTACTCGAGCTCGATGTGTGACTTCTACATCATATTCGCGATAAGATTCTGCGCGCGTCTCCGCGGCAATAATGTTTTCCTCTGTAACAAGCCGTGTAACTCGCTGGTAACGAACCGCGTGTCACGAATTCGAGACTCGCGCGCGAGCTTTGCTCCTTTCGGAAACACAAAAAAGACGTTTATATACGACTGCCGGGCGCTGTATACTGCACGATCGTTGAAATTCCCTCCGTCAAAATGTCAAATGTAACTCTTTCGCGAGAAAAAGGATAAAAGATCGCATGTGTGCTCGGACGAACTTGATTCATCTCGGAGCGAGATTTCATAGCCTTTGCACTCTTACACAGTGGCAGTTGTATAATTTTCACCGATAAGCATTCTTTATGAGCGCAGACACTCGTACGTACACACGCGTGGGTGATTCACTGCGCTTTTCTTTGGCTTGAGTTTATAATAATTGTGGCTAATGCCTCGTCTGTCACGGAATTGTATACTTTCGTCTTCCGTACTGTGTGATATATTGTAACGGAGATCGTGGTGCAAACATCCCATAATACTTCAGACCGGTCTTATATTCTATAGTTACTATTATATGCCACATATTGTATAATGATTTTTTGTGAGGCTCAAAATCATTCCGATGAATATTTAGAAACTCGGAGTAAGAAAACTTCTTGGTACTCTATTATCTTGACTTGCGCGAGCTCCGATTTTATTTTCACTTTTGAAACTATTAACTTTTGTGAAACAATTTGTACAGCGATCTGAAACAGTAAATAATGTAATCGCCGCGGCAAGTGAAGTTACTTCAATTTACCTCAATAACAATCACAGAGTTAGTTGGTTCAAATTGTTTCCAGAAATCCCGCAATCTATATACGCACCGATAGTTGCAACGATTCAACTCGATAGATGTACTTTTCTAACGTTCTCACTTTTCCTAAACGGAACATCTCGAGCGCAGTCGAGAGCATCTCAATCGCTTATATAGTTGACCCGCCAACATGCCATATCGAATAGGCCAGTAACATTTATGAAATAATCAGACAGCAGCGATCGCAGGTGAAAATTTCTCAATGTCGCGCGCGGCGATAGGTGTATATATTTGCGGTGCGTACGGCAGTAGTGGCTTTTTGCGCGCATCATCGTAATCGTGATTCACGCGTCAAAGAGAGAGAAAAAGAGAGAGAGAGAGAGAGAGCGTTATAAGGAAGGAAAGAGCAAACGCTTATATGGCGGTAAAAGCCGGTTATGCAATTGCCCAGGGCCTCGATTGCTCGAGCTTTCTGTGTGTCTGTGTGTGTGTCTACGACGCTCGAGCGTTATCCGCAGTTCGCGCCTCGTATGTACCTAATACACAAACAGCATAACGCATATCTGTATGTATGTATACAGCGTTGGATTTTCCACAAGGGCTCCCCCGAGACTTACTTTCGTACGATATACGCATAAGCTTTTAAAGCGACTTTAGGTGTGTTTCTGCACGCAAAACGATCGATAATTATTTTTTGCTCATACCGATACTCGCCCGAGTCGCATACGATGCTCATTCTCGATTCCGTCGTGTTTACACGGCTCAACTGACTCGACTGCAGTGGCGATCGACTGCGCGGAGCAGCTCTTTCGCCTCGATGTTTCTTTCAGTCCCGAGTCCCGATGGATGAGAGAAAAAAAACGAACCGACGCGATTTTACACTTGTGATTACGAAGAATCTAATTTCTAAAAATGGACTTGCGAGCTGTGCAGTTGCGTGCAATTTTTTTTCTCATTTTTTCCGTCTCAACGCTCTCGATATTACCCTCATCGTTTACTGATATTTCAGAAATATATAGAGAGAATCGCGGAGAGAGAGAAAAAAACGAAAAACAGCAAGATACCAAGTAGCTCGTGAATGCTTAGCACCGGTTTATTTATTTTTTCTCTTCACCCTCGGCTGCCTTTAATTTCCGCAGAAAATCGGTATGCAGCGTGGAATTTAGATTTGACTTTCTGTTTATGTATTTTCGGCATCCCCCGCCGCGGTAAAGAGATTTGCCTCTCTCGCGCGTGGAATAGTTCCGTTTTGCCAAGATCGCGCCGCAGCCTAGTAGCTAGCTCTAAACATAGATGTGTATATGAAATTCGTATATAAATTCGTGAACGCACGAAATTGGAGAAATTAAATGTACGTGTGCAAAAGAGAGCGAACGAGCGAGAAAAGTAACAAGGCGTATAATAACGTCGACTGACGGGCCACAAGCAGTAGGAGCAACAGCAGCAGCAGCAGCAACCATCTGTGTGTACGTCGACGGCCTTAATACCCCTCGTGGCGCAGAAAATACCGCCCCGAAAAACTCATACGGCCCCTGCGATGTGCATATACATGTGTTTGTGTATGTATGTGTGTGTATATGCACTACAGTCGTGCTCTCATTACAATGACAATGAGAGAAATCCGATACGCCCGTGGGCATTTGCACATAAACACACGTATAAATACACACGCGGACATGGAGTGCATGCGTATGTGCGACTGCTGAGTGTTTTTTGCTTTCGTCCTTGTCATCCTGCGCCCAGTGCGTATACATGCGTGTATATACGTATTCGCGTCGACAGTGTCGAGTATAGTATGTGCACACTCGTGTGTGTATCTTAATATTATTCGCACCTCTCGACGTGTTTATGCGTTTATGTGCCGCCACTGCTGCTGCTGCTGCTGGGGATGCACGCATGATTCGAGCTCTTACGTTTCGTCGCCTTCCAGAGCCCTGCTCCGTGTACAACTTCTCTTGTTGCGAGTCGAGTGCGTTATGTGCTCATTATGTGTCTCTGTTTGGCACCTTTTGTCGCTGCTACTGCTGCCGCTGCCGCTTCGTCGGGTGCATCAAGCAGTCAGAGCCTGTTTCTTTATTTGCGACTAATGCGCGCTCCTGTCTCTTTTTCTGACATATATATTGTTCGCGTGCGGTTTGTCTTTTCACGCCTCGGATTTCATCTCCTGCGCGCTCCGTATTATACAAACAACACAATTTTTTGCGACCATCGTTCGTTTGTATGTAAAACAGTCACCTTGCGCCGTGTATCGTGCCCGTGATAGATATTGAAAATTTTGCAAATCTCAGAGATCTACATCCAAAAGCAATTGGCCGGCCAGATATCGCAAGGAGTAAAATGTCCATTCCGCATCTGCGCCAGAATTTCGACCACTAATGCTTATTTCATGAAGTGGGACAGAGAGAGAGAGCATGGCATTTTTCAAATCTGTCCAAACAAAGCGCGTGTGGGGTCGCGCCCGTTTCTCGTTCTCTCTCCGATGGGTAGCAGCAGCGAGAAACTGCCCCGCTCCGGCACGGCGCGCCATATGAGGGCAGAAATTCAAACGCACACTTTCTCCTCGTTCTCTTGCGGCTAATAAGCGGGTAATACTCTATGCCGAGTGTCGCTAGTACTTTCGTCGTCCTTTTTTTCGGAAAAGGGATCGGGGTGTCGGAGCCAATGTTTAGCACGTACATATTGTACGCGCAGAATAGTATAGAAGTGAAAAAAATAGTACGCGTGATATACTCACTTTTCAGTAGTGGCAGGTCGTTCATGAAACCTCCGTCGTCGACGTTTGTATTCTGTAAACAGAGGTGAAACTCAGAATGGATTGGGGTGACGGATATACGCGCACATAAAGAATAATACATAATATGCGATATTATTCGTACTTGGACAGGAGCAAGCAAGCAAGCATGCGTGTGTGTGTGTACTAAGGGAGCAAAATTAATCAAGTGGTATTGCATGCTGGCGCTGTTTACTTTTCTTCATAATCATAATCATTGAGCCGTACAGAGGCTGGAGAGTCTCATAGGTGCTAATTTGCCAATGACTGCGTAATTCCGTGTATTGAATTTTAATTAAAGCATCCGAAGTTGAGTTTTGACAAGCTCGAATAATAAGTTAACGACTCTAAACATAATATAACTCATTTTTCGTTCGTACGATTGCACGAAAATGAATTTTTCAGAGCAAATTTATCCATGCATATGAGAACTGGATCTACGGTGGTCGACTGTACATTTGTGTATGATCAGGCATGTGCTCGATATACAGACGCATGTTATAAAAGGTAGACGTATATTCTAATGCTCGGTGGCGAACGAAAGCAGATTAAAAAAAAGAGAAAGAGAGAGAGAGAGAGAGAAGAACCCTTCATCAAGATTCGAGAGAGCATACACAAAGCATCAAAGTACCCAGGCCGACCCAAGCACGCGCGCGCGTGGGGACAGATCGCATTAGAGCTCAAAAGGAGCACCGAGCACGCATTATCAGTGATATATATCGGACGCTGCAAATGCTAAAGCACAGCTACATATTGCAGGCTGTTAGGCGCACACACACACATGCTTGCGTTACATAAAATGTATAGAGAGTAAATAAGATGTATACGTGTCGATGGCGCTCGATTATACGTACATCGTCGCTCACCTGGGGGTCGTCCACGAGGCTCGTGTGCAGCACGAGGTCCGTCTGGTCGAGGCCGGGCGGCGGCAGCATGGCGTCCGGTCGGCGCACCGAGTTGTAGTCGACGTTGCCGCCTCCGCCACCTCGTCCGCCGGTGTTTCCGCCGCCACCTCCGCCCCCGCCGCCACCGCCTCCGCTGTTGCGGCCGCTGTCGTATGGAAACGACGCGTGCATGTTTGTCTGGAAAGCATGAAAAAAAAAATCATATTGCAGCCTTGGTACAAACTTTGACAGTGTAGTACAATTTTCCTTATAGAAATACATGTCGAAGAGAGCTTTATCACCGATAAGCGGGCGCGACGTCGAAATTATCGCTGACGCACGCGGTAGATGTTAACCACCGACCTCATCAAACATTTGTACTTTACGACCATAAATGCAGCAAATATTGGTCGGTACACTTTGTTACTCAAAATTTTGATACATGTATTAATGTGAAAAAATGGTAGAAAACCACCACGCAACAAGCTAAACTTTCATTAGAAATAGAAACGAAATAGGTTGTAGTGAAACTCTCAAATATGTTATCACTAATTTTTGAACAAAAACTGAAGTCTAAATAAAATATATCAGTTTTTCTTAAAATACTTCTTCTTATAGAATTATTTTTACTTTGCCACTTGCTGGTTTACAGCTACAGGTACTCGCCATCTAGTGGTGAAAGCTCAAAGTAATTATCCCATTGAAAGAGGTTAAACTGGTCTACATTTTTTTAAACAAATTGATTTTCATGAAAATGCTTTTAATATTTTTTTACATCATTGTAACAGAAAAATTACTAAAAGCAAGCCACCGAATGATAATGTATTTTAAAACATTTTAAACATAGTATATTTCTCAACGGGTGCACATATCATGGTTTTTTAGCAAAACGAGGGATTATAGCACGAGCCGAAGGCGGGTGCTGTAACGAGTTTTGTTAAAAAACCATATCTGCACCAGTTTGAGATACTATTTTTTCCTACGAGAGCCTAAAATTAGCGGCAAAGTTGCGTATTTTAGGTTAGAGTGGGAAAAATAATTTTTTTGGTCATCGCAGAAAACCGTATTATGCGACGTATCTTTTGATTTATTTACTTGATCGTAAAATCCCTTGGACCTGTCAAAAGATGTTCGAGTTTCGTCACTCGCGGATGATAAAGCGAATACTTCGACTAGAGAGCGTCCGCCACTGCACTTCAGCAGCGTGTGAGAATTTTCTCGCGCAGAGGCTATACATCCCATTGTGTTGCATCCGATTCGCGACGATTGTGTTATTTTCTTTGAAATAAAAGCTGCAATATCTTTGTATGTTTATTTATAATTGATGGTTGATAATTCGCAAATGGCGCGAGGGAATATTAAAAAAGGATTAGCTCGTGTTCTTTCGATGTTTACGACTCATGCACTGAGACTTTAGTAAGTGTGAAAATTATCTCGCCTCGAATAGTACCAGTAATATTTAACGTTATAATCATGCATTTACGAGTTGAATGAACAAGGTGAAGATTATTTTAACAAATTTATTAGTCAGCCGCTTTCATTTAATGTTTACGTCTTTCCAAATAAAACCATTACAAGGACTCACAAGGTCCTAAATTTTCCCACGCATCATAGCAAGTGTCCTGATTGTGCATTTAATAAATGTAAATGTATCGTTAGAGATTTGACAGGCGAGCAATGCCGTCTTGCGCCTCGAGTCATCACCGAATAGGCTCGTCACAGAAAGCAAACGAGCAGCAGCATACGTATATATTTAAATTTTGGCCGCGAGGCGTGCGCAGCGAGCTCATAAACGGCTGCTCTCATATCCAAACAATGCGGTTTAATATACAAAACCAACGTTTCGCTCTCCTCCGATTGTCTCTCACAAACGCGAGAGACGCGCACTTGTCATCTGCTTTTTCAGTGTAATGGGGTTACTCGATATCGCGGTTGACGCGCGGCACGCATAGAAAACGGTTAATTGGAAGAGTGTACTTTACTGCGCGGGTATTTATAAACGATGCTGAAATGAATCTGTGTCAAAGGCGTGAGAATTTGCGAAACTTCACGAAGTTTTATTCAAAAGTAGCTGGAACAAAGGATTCGCCTCTAGATGCATCGACGCTGTCGTACATAGGAGATTATATTGAACATTAATTTCACGACGAAGTGATTTCATATATATCTTTTGTCTCGATCCATTGGTAAGAAAGCTACTATGTTATTTTTCAGATTTACGTCAATAGTAGTCACACCGTGTACAAAGCTAGGTGTAAATTTATGATTCGAATGTGCGCAACTCTTTGAGATTTTTTTTTTATTACTACACTATAAATCTAGGATGATTTATGTCGAGGCGCGAAAACCTTTTTCAATTTTCTCACTCGATTGTAGGCGAAAGAAAAAATTAATAATTCTTAATTATGAATAAGCGCGGTCAATTTGTCAAAAGTACATTCGATTATATGATGGTTAAAAATTTTAATTAGGCTCAATGGAACGTGCGTTATGATGCTTTATGAGTTCGCACCGAGAGACATCCTCGTATCACGAATGAAAAATTTTTCACGTGTGCTTCGTATGTATAATACGCAGTGTGTGATCTGCCACCAAAGACACACTTGCCGCGCACCGAGCCCATTCACGCGCGGGCAAATAAATGTCCTGGCTAAAGTATATTGGCAAAAGCCGCGCGCGGCAAACTGAATATACACACATACACCCAAGCTCGTAATATAACTAGAATGTATAGGCTCCGCTAACGGAATTCGAAAATGATTAAACTCAAATGAGCTTCTTATACGCCGGTGTGTTTTTTGCGCGGCTTCTTGCATTTGTATCGCTGAATTTATGTCGCGCGCTCGCACGGCCAAGCCGATTGTGCAATATAGTGGCGTTTTTTTATCCGAATTCAAGTTTCAACTTTCTAATCCTTCATTTTACGTATATTTACATTATATTATACACGCGGTAATATTAAATATATATTAAATAAAATTTCGCAAATTGACGATCGTCGTCGTCATCGTCGTCATCGTGTGCGAGCTAAACTGGAGCTTGCGCAATAATGCGAGAGGGCATATACAACGCGTAGTTGGTATATCGTTCGGGGCATTATCGCGTCGCCAGCCACCGATAAGGTTTTCTATATATCGCGCACGCACTCTTGCTTTAAGGAGCGGATGTCCAGCAGCACTGGGCGGTTGCAGACAGGAAAAAAACCATCAATTAACTCTCGGGGAGATCGGGACACTGCGAGTTGTGTGCGTATGTGTACGCGTGCATCGAGCGAGCTGCTAATTCAATGCGAATCGCCTCGACAAAGCTAACTAATAAGATGAAAAGCCCGAGGTTTATAGTCGCCTCCTTTCTCTCGTTACAGCGACGACGAGGGCACACAAGGATTGCGCCAGGACGAGATCCGAGCTCACTTGTAGATTCGGAATATGGATGTGCGAGATCTGCTCTCTCGAAGGCGCACGCGAGTTGACGCCGATACACTGCTACCTATATATCCCCGCGCGTATATACGTGTGTACGTTAATTGGGCGGATGCAGTCGATCGTGCGCGGGGATTCTCATTTTTTTTCTTTCCTTTTTCTCTCTTTCTCTCTCTCTCTCTCTCATTTTTTTTTCTTTTACTCTTTTTGCTCTGGCTGCCCGGGGCACGCGTCGCAAAACTTGAAATGATAATGCAGTGCGATGATATAATGCCAACAGCAGCGAGCGCGCGCTCTATAAAAGTTTTGTCGATGAGGTATTACGGCACCGAGTGTGGAAATAGCTGCTGCTGCTGAGCGCGCGAGACTACGAGACCACTGATAATTGTCCTTTACTTTTTTTCCCCCTTCGCACGCAGTACAGTAGTAGTGGTAGTAGTAGCGATCGCTCGCGATATAAATCGAACAAACCAAATCAATGAATTTCATTTTCAGCGCACGATCCCGATGGAAAAAGTTGCATAATACGCGCGACGCGAGGATGAATTTAATTTGTCGGCGTGCGCGCGCAAAAAACTTAAGCTCCGGCGAATAATAAATCAAGCCCGTAATTAAATTTTCTACTGTAATCGCCGAGTTCTCCAACTCGAGGATGAATAAAAACAATATTTTTGTAACAATTTACAAACGTTCGACGAAATAAGAGTAAAGTGGCAGCGTTCACTTGGTACGCGCGAAATTTCATTGAGCAAAGTAACCGTTATATCTCTCGTCTCGAACATCAGTAGCAGTAGCATCATGTGTGATCAAGGAGATGTTTATTAACCGGAATAACTCTCAGAGCGATTGACACATGTTTATTTTATGTTTCTCTTTGTCAACTCGTTAGAAGTTTGACCAATAGGTGTCTATATGTCAGCACGCCCAACACTTTTGACACCAACGCTGTCAGTACTAGAATCAATGTTGAACCAGTACTGGTTGGATACTGGAATGATAACAGTAAATCAGTACTGGCAGCCAGTAATGGCCCATACTCTTCACAATCTTGGGCCAGTACTGGATACCAATGTTGAGCCAGTATTGAAAAAAAATATTTTTTTGATACTGGCTCGATAATGGCACCTGATATTGTGCCAGTATTGGCCCGTGATAATCGTACTGGCGCTGCTTACGTGGGGTGTTATGAAATAATATACAACACATACATACGCTTGGATGAGGTAGTATTGTGTGGAATCAATGAAATTCGCGGAGTCAAACCCGCTGTCGCGCTCTACACGTGCAGCGCTCGGTGGCGCGTCAGCATCGCAAAAATGTTTTTCAGGCTCTCTCTCTATATCATGTGTATATAGCGAAAGCATCGCTCTGCTTCATCGACGTAAATAAAAACATCTCACAGTCGTGTCCGAAACGAAACACAAGAGTTTTTAATCATCATCGCTGATCTCGTCATTCGCTCTGTTATGTATATAAGGATGTGCTCGGTGGCTGATCCTTCCTCTTTCACTCTATCTCTCTTGCACGCGCTCGGCTCTCCCGTTATTTATGAATGTGTGTACCTGCTGCGCCTGCGCCTGCGATGAAAGTATTCTAAGAATCGAAATCGGGAGAGACGGCGAATTCGGTGACTGGAATCTTAATCACGGGCAGTGGCAGCAACAACAGCAACCATGAGTATTTTATGTATGTATAGGGAAAGAGATCTGTCGCGAGCAAAAAATGAGAGCGCGCAGCACATTATATTCAATGAGTTAGCGACAAAACGTTTTTGCTCGGCCCGCAGCCGCACACAGTACTCCTCTCTATATGTGCACTTTTGGCCCTATACTGGGCTCTTGTATGCTCCATTGGCATGAGGCGCGAATGCAACGTCGCTTTTTATACTTCCGCAGCAGGCCGCGACTGGTTATAGTCTTGTCCATTTTTGATAAGCATGATTCGAATTGATCATTTGTTTATTGGGATAAAAAGTGTTGCGATTCTATCTCTACCGAGGAATAATTGTCCTGCCCGCTGTTTACTCGTTATAGAATACGCGACTTTTTTTTTTATTGGCCACCGGGGAATCTGATACTGGTCGTGAAAATACACGTTTTTCTTATTATTTAACGTAGACGAATTACTTTGGTGTAATGTATATCGCAGTATTCAATCGAAATTACGATTCAACTTTCTCTTTAAATATGTAATTTTTCGCAAACAACTGTTACCGAACAAAAATGTTGATTTTAATGCCTCGAGTTATTAAATGTCATCAAAATCGCTGCCAACTTGAGGAATCTCTTAAGCAAAATTTTCAAGCAATCTTGAAATTTTCTATGCCACTATTAAAACGACGATCGTTCGTAAAAGGAGAGTCTACTCGGTCGTCGGAAAAGTAAAAGCATATATTGCAGTTCGAGCGCGGTAATACGCGTAGTCGAAGACGCCGTCGAACACTCAAAACGTCTGATTATCGGTATTGTCGGCACGCATTCATTTCTGCAGTAGAGGGTCGGTGGCATGTATACAGAATTCGCAGGGGGGATGAAAAATATACAGCGAGTTTGTAGGATGCGGGCGGACATCCATCATTCGTCGCTTTTCGTCTTCTTAACGCCACAGATTTGACGAGTTTGCGTGTATATAAGCGCGCCTATGTGTCGTATACGATCGATTTTCGCCTACTCTCGGCACACACACACATGTGTGACATTCATGACCTCTTATCGCCCGATGCATTATGTTTTCTGTCTGCACCGCGCGTATACGTATATGTATGTGAATGGGAAAGGCTGTATTCAAGCTGGATGTTTTGCTCGTTTGAAATATTTACATCGGGTGGAGAGAAAGAGAGAGAGAGAGAGAAAGAGACAGACAGACGATTTTTTCGTAGACGCGTGTGCATCGTATACACCGTTCAATAGCGTTGAATAATGATGATTTCGTACAACACACATCGACGCGCGTGTACGTGACGAAAATGAACTATTTTTTTGCTATCTATACGTTATATTCGAGGAAAACGACACACTACGATCTTTACTGTTGATTAATTGGATCTCGATTCGATGGATTATCGTGAAAGTTCATAAAAAGCGCGATATTGTGCGAACACGATGATGACACATCTATCGAGAGACGCGCAAAATTTCACTTTCATCTTGCTATAAAAAACGATAAATTGCAAAAATTACACACGAGCGCGAAGTGACAATTAAAAAAAAACAAATCAAAAACCGCGTGTTTCTATCTGCGATTAGCATTTAAAATTTAAAGGCCACCTCGAGAAGCGCGTCGATATATTATTCAATCGTGTGAATTCCTATGATATATTATACACGCGCCGTCACATTTAATTCACAGTGTATGCTTCATGACATAAGCACCCAAGATATAAATCGCGAAAGATTCACCCAGAATGTATACCCTGTACAAACACACACCCGTACTCACGTGTACACATAAGTACACACACAAAATATTACATATAAAGACGTCGTCATTCTTGGCACTCGTATATACGGGGGATAGAGAGAGAGACAGGGTTCAAAGCAAGCGTCTCTGGCATGTTGAGGCATGTCTTGCGTGCGGCTAAGAATACCCGAAAGTCCACGGGCAACTTAATAAGTAAATTACTGCGTGCACGTGAAAATTCCTTATCTACTCGAATAAGGAGTGGGGCATTTTACGTAAGCTTGAGATCCTTAAAAGTAGCATACTTTGAAACTGATGCATCTTTTCGTTTTCGAATCGAAACTCGACAATTTTTCGAATGATTCGTCACGAAAGATGACAAGAGAAATTTATATCCATCGATTTGACGACTATCGGAGTCAAAATCTAACTTTGCGTCACGGCTTTCGCGCGTATCGAATGTTCAATGAACATTAATGGCAATAAAAATAAGTTATGCTAAACTTGCGTGATCCAACCAACTGCAGAGACAAACTATGCGAAAATTTATGAGTATGTTCTGATATCGAGCTCAAGATGCTCTTCTCTCTCGAGCACGAGATATTGCTGGCTAAAGACGGAAGATTTTGGCCACGAGACACGTTCGTCGACCACAAGTTTCGCGCGCGATCGAATTTGCAACGTGACGCATAATTTAACGGGCGCGCGGCAACCTAGCTCTCTTGCTCTTTCTCTCTCCTCGTTTACGGCTGCGACAATGGGACAGATGTTCGAGTGCGAAATAGCCGATATTATAATAAAATCGAATTTGCGTTTGAAAGTCGATACCTGCGCGCGCTCCAGTTTCATATTCGATAGTTTCGAAGCGACACAATACAATTTTTCTGCGTTATTAAAATTCGTCGTTGGTCAAGTCCTTCGCGCTGAACTCGACAAACTCAAATAGCACTTGGACATTTCACTACGGATGCCGAGGCAAACTCAATCCAATGAAGTAAATATAAAGAATGAGACAGGATTAGCTTGGTCTTCACCGATGTAAATCCTCCGAAAAATCACCGACTATTTGTGCGCGTGAATTTCACTTAAATCGCATTATGCATTACATATGTCCGTACACAGACACTCTCATACTGGCACGTCCTTTCAAGGCGCCGGTCAGAGAGTCGATCGCGGAAGGGAGTCACATTGGCACAGCAGTGGCAATAATGCCCGAGAGCCGCATACACAGACGCGCGCGAGGCAGACAGAGAAAAAGCCACTCGACGCGCGCTCGATGACGATGACGAGAGAGGTTGCCTCTTAACGGTACACGACTCCCGACTCCGAGGCCAGTTTTCAAATACTAATAACGGCTGTATGTGTGCAGTGCATATTCATATACAAGCGCATCGCAGTGGATTATACTGTGCTCTCTGTGTTAGGCTCGTTTATTCATTTATTAATCGCGCGCGGATGGCGCAAAGCACAAGCATGCGCTCTGCGACGAGGCCAAGAAAGAAATGGAAAATGTTTAATTGAGCTGATTTATCGATGGGAAAGTTATTTTATTATTTTCGATGCCACGGCGGATTTTCACTCCTTTTCAAATAATACATACAAGCCGCGCCGCCGCGGTGGCTTTGTCAATTAACGCGATATCATGCTTGTCACGAGAATTTTTTTTTGTTGCAGAGAGATTTTCGCGCATTTAGATCCGACTATTCCGACGATTTGTCAAATATCTCTTGACAAGTGCGCGCGACGCGATCGTAAGTATATGCCTTGTCGCGTGAAAAATTGATGGAAAATATGAGCGCTCGCGACAAGGATGTTAAAAGAGCCGCGTGTGTGCATCATTTGTATAACACGATAAAACTTGTATTCAGGCGTGCATTGCGAATATTTCACCGGCACTAACTGCGCGCCACGTTGATCGAGCACATTGGCAAATAATCAGAAAAAAGAAATCCGTTTCGATCTTACGATTCGGTTTTTAATGTATAACTTTTGACTCAAGGCTCGGCAACGAGAGCTGTGTAACGCACAAAACGTGTCGATTAATTGCCTCGTGCACTACAAATACATTCTCCGCGAAAGGAGAGAAGCGAATCTGCGTCGAGCGAAGCTCGAGTACGCGATCGTAATTTTAAGAATGTACCGAGGGTTATACGTTATTACACGTATTACGAGCTGTGTGTAGTGCGACGGTTTGCATGCAGCGCACGCACCGGCTGCCTAGCGTGCGCCCGAGTACTCGTGTAAACACACTTTGATTTTTTCAATTAAGCACTCGAGGCGATTCGTTAAATGAAAGCTCGTCGTCGTCGTGCCGATGATCAGTAGCAGTAGCAGCTGAAGCTGCGTTTCAGGAATTTCTTTTGATCCGAAATTGACTCGCGATCATCGGATGAGAAAAGCTCTCGCGACAATGCGCAAATTTCGAACGTATGATCAAATAAATGGCAGTAGGTATATGGTACTTACGACGTGTATGTCGGCATCCCTCCTGAGATCACCGCTCCTCTGTCCGGCCGAGACGGCCGCGCTCAAGTGGTTGTAGTGATGCTGATGAAGGGTGTTGAGGGTCTGGGTGTAGGGATCGCCGACCAGATAGTCGAGGTGCTGGGTCTGCGCGAGGCCCGGATGCTGGGGACTCGGCGGCGCGTGATGATGGGACGGGAAGGGCGGCGGGAAGTAGGGCGGCTGAAAGTCCGAGGCCGTGGGCAGCGAGGCGCCCCCGTGATGGGGCATGCCGCCCCCGTTGCCCTGGCCCCGGTGGCCATGATGATGGGCGCTCGAGTACGGCGACGAGTTGCCGCCGCCGAGCGACGAGATGCCACCGTGGCCGGTTAGCCGGTCCTGCAACAAAACAAAATTTGACGTTGTAATTACTCGAGGACTCGCGTATATAATTATTATAATCCTTCTTATAAATACGTGTGAATGCATGAAATATTTTGATCAATATGCGTGGCCATCTCGCAGACTATATACTTAAGCGCCTCTTCCGTGGCGAGCAATTAAGCGTGCAAACAAGTGCTCGCAATCGAACGGGCAGTGTGGCGCGCGCTGACCGAGTCGATAAACGTCCATCGGTATTATTATTCATCGCGATCGTCGGAGTGGCTCGCGATCATCGCGTGCGTAAGGTGCGTTCGAAATACTTTCTCGGATACATCTCCGGTCAGTTTATAGTTACATACGAAGTCGGGGACTGCAGTGTGGCAAAAATCGAAAGCACAGATTAATGCCATTATAAATTCAGCGCGAGAAGAGAGTCGAGAAATGTCTGCAAGCCAAAGATCTCATGGAATAACTTCGCGACAAAAGGTGTTGGTGCAATTTACGAAACTAAAGGATTAGGCCGCACTCGGGTTAATATAGCAGGCGCGCGCGCGGCATGGGTGTCATAAATATCGTATGTAAATCTGTCTTGCGAGATATAGTAGTCCGAGCTGTCGTCAACACAAATAGCTCACAGGCACAGACAAGAAGAAAAAGAAGAAGAAGCAGCAGCAGAAGAAGAAGAGTGGTCCGGAGCTCGCGTAGGCGTGTGTGCGATTTGAGAAATGATACTCCGCGCTGCGCGGCTTTTTTCAACAAAGTAGCGATACACTGAGATCGCTGCTGCTGCGATGCATTCTTTTTTTCTCTCTCCATCTTTTTCTATCTCTTCGCATCGGATGGTAATCGCTACGGGATCGGGGAAGCGCGTTCAATAACAATACCAGCGGATGACATAAAAAATGCTCCGTCATATGTCACCGACTACACTATACGCACACACGCACGCACACGCAGATGAAGTTTCCGCGTGGTTCATTGTAAGCCGCTTATTTCTCTACGGCGTGGCGCGCCGGCAGAAATATTTTTCTTTTTCTCTACTCGAAACGAAAGCCTCGGCAGAATTGCGAAAATTGCATAAATAAACGGACGGATGAGCTCGAGTCCGCGACTGCGTTGTGTACACAGTGTGCCGATCGTGCAAAGCTCCGCGCGCACATTATTTTCCATTACCAGCAGCAGAAGCAGCATCCACGGCTCGCCACGAAATTGCTACTCCGGACGCGGTGCTGCAGCACGACGTACGTCCCACTTGCGACGCACATAATCGCCAACGCATGTGTCAATAATTTCAGGCAATCGCGTGTGCAAGCCGATTTTTTCTTTCCTTTTCTTTTTTTATTCTAGGCTCGAAAACAAACACGAGCACACACGTCGTCGTCGTAATGTAACATCGTGTATCGGGCTTATTATTATGGACCGCTCGGCCCGTCGCGATCTGCACTCATCGACGTGGTCGTCGTCGTCGTCGTCTCTCGTAATTATGCAATGCGAGCGAAAAACATACAGTACTGCGTACACCTCGGTCTGTGTATATGTGTGTGTTTGCGTCCAGACAAAAAGAGAGAGAGAGAGAGAGAGAGAGAAAAGGGAGTTACCGGAGCTTTGAGAGCAGCAGCAGCAGCAGCTCAATGGCCATGTGGTGAAAGATTGTATCCGAGCGATAATCCGATAAGTCGTTATTAGAGATAATAATAAGTAATAAGCATGTAAAGGATCACTCGTATAAACTTAATGCTTTTGAGTTCGAGTGCCCACTGTTTGTTGATCTATTCAATTGCTACTTCGTTGCTCGAGAGAGCGTGAAATTTTTTTATTGTTTTTTGCACTTTCTTTTTTTTCATGCATCTTTCCCAATTTAGCAGTAATTTTTGTATCGAAGTCTTTTACCATCACTTAGAAATGTTGGTAATAAAAGAATAAAACAATCGAAATAATGGACCAGTAAGTCTGTATAAGTACATATATTTGACCTGGAAAAAAGTTAATATCTCTCTGCGACTCTTTCCTCGTTTTTTTTTCGATATCACGCAAAGTGCATCGACGACTCAGACACATATGAAGTCGAATATTGGTCAATAGAACTACTTGAAATAAAAGAGCGCCAGTCTGGTTCATAAAAATCGGAACGCAAAGCTCGTCCCAAATGGCACTCGCTTCCAACTATGATATACAGTGTAAGCTCGACAAAGCTAGCGCATCAGTGGAAATCGTCTACGCAATGTGTACACATTAAAATCACATTATTCCGCGTCGGAGAGGAAGACGAGATCCTTAGCAGCAAGTGCCACTGCGCGCTTTGATAAAATCTTCCTGCCTCTCTCGCATCTCTCTCTGCTTGCGCGAATACTTGCGAGATTATATATGATATCTTCATGCGACTGGACTTGCATAATAATCAAAAGGATGCATCCGGTACTCTCTCTCTCTCTCTCTCTCTCTCTCTCTCTCTCTCTCTCTCTCTCTCGCGGCGCATAAGCGATTATCTGCTGCAACTCCGACCGTGATTGTGTATGTGCAATTCAACGAGTCCTGGCCTGTATTATTTCGCGACTTGCTTTTCATTTGTCGTTCTTTTGTGCTTTTTTGGCCCGTACGCGTGATAAAAAGCAGGATGTGTACACATGCGCACGCCTCTCATTTTCTCAATCCCTACGTACGCGAGCTCTTGTGACTTTTTTCATTTTATAATTTGTATACGCTGATGGTGTTTTTTGCAAGCTTCAATTAACTTTGCACGCGCCTAGCTTGATTTATTGAAACGGACGTTTGCTTTTGAAACGACTCATCAAAATTGTTGCGTATGTCTGAGCTCGTTAATAATTTCAGGTGTTACACCAGCTATGATATAAAACGATTATTATCGACTGAAAGAGCTTTTAATCGGCAGCGCATGAATTTACCTCAACCTCGATGACGGTGGACATGTCCACGTGCGGCGCATAGCACAAGGCGAGCTTTTCGGGGCCCGGAGCCTCCGAACGCGGAGGAAACATCCCTAAGACCTCCAGTTTGACGGAGTGTCATACACCGCACGTCGATAACTAAAGTCGATGAAAACGAGCGAAGAGCAGGTGTCTAAAAAACCAAAACCTCGAGATACCACTATGTTTCAGCGAAAATCACCCCGCACTATTTATTGCACCACCAGAGACACATTCACGTTACGCGGGCACTCAACGACGACGACACTTTACAACATCATCATACGTATGATAATCTATCATCACCGTCCGTGGCACAGAACTCTTTTTATCCTTTTGTTTCACCGGACTAGATGCGTACTCGAAGCGGCGCCGGCAGCAAATGTTCGGCTCTTGGGGGAGCAGCACAGGCAGCGGCAAGTGCACTTTTCGAACAGCTGATCATCATCGGCAACAGCAGTGGCATGGCATGGTAGCCGTCATCGCGTCGTCGAGCAGCCACCACACGGGGACGTGCACACACACACACGTACACACGCGTATATTATGTTTACGCGCGAGCCTGTGTGTATATTGTATGTGTTTATGTGTATCGACGCACGCTGCCGCCGTTTCTGATTCGACTGTGGCGCGCGAGTTTTACGGATTATCGAAGCCACCACCGCTAGCTCGAGCATATAGCCACCAGAACTCGAGTATAAGAGAGAGAGAGAGAGAGACCGGCTGCTGCTGCTGCCTGGATGCGTGCTCCCCTACCTAGAGCTAAGAGCAGGCGAGCGAGACACAGAGCGAGAGAGAAAGAGAGAGAGAGAGCAAATGCGCACACGCGGCCACCTAGGGGACAGCTCGACTCTATTGGAGCTTGGCCACCTCCTCGAGGCGTGTCACTTTCACGCTCGACCTGAGAGAGAGAGAGAGAGAGAGAGCGTGCACTGCTCCTGTGTCTACTTTTCTCCTCTTTTTTCCCCGCCACACCACCTTGTGCTCCTTTTTTTATACCTCTTCTTTTATATACATATTATACATCTTGTGCACTGGTGTACTCGGCTTTGCGCTTCGTTCGTTTCAATCTTTTAATTATTAGTCGGTGCGAAAGGGTTTCGGATCGGAGCTTCGTTCATTTGGAAATATCGAAAATGGGGTGCGAAACGCGGTGGAGTTAAAAAAAAGCAGCGCCCCGATTAAATTGCCAAAATTAAAATTAATTTGCTTCCTGCTCGCAGAAAGGGAAAAAGCAGAGGACGAAGAAGAAGTAGAAAAGGCAAAAAACGTCGCTCGAGATCGCGCGACATTCGATACACCTAAGCAATCCTCGCTTGGCCTATAAAAGCTTTCTGGACGCGACCAACAACGCCAGCAGCAGCAGCAGCAGCAGCAGCATTGCAAGAGATCAGTTTCTTTTCCTGAGAAATGCATTAACCGGGCAGTGGATCGGTGCGCCGCGCACACACGCTCGCTGCAATCAAGACATATACACACGCGAGTTCCATCGACCAATTCATTAATCTTCCAACACGTGAAATCTTCAAGGAGCTTCGTTGAAGTCGTTTGTCGTGCGGCGCAGGCTTAGCATGGCGCGCGTTGCGCTGCTCGTTTTACGGCGATCGTGATGCGGTCTTAATTAATGTCGTTGGCGTTGTCGGTGTGTGTGTGTGTGTGTGTGCGTATGTAACGCCGCGCCGAGCCACAGCAGCATCAAATTATATCGGACTCGCGCGCGCGTGCGAGTTGAGTTTTTCTCAGTGGGTGCGCGATGCATCGGCCGATACGCGCGCGGCAGATCCTCTAGCCAGCCCATATCTTTTGCAACGGTATACGCGAACACAAGGTGTTGATGATTTACCGGCGCTTATTTTACGCTCGCACGTACGCGCGTGAGCATTTAACGGGGTTCCCGTATTGAAATTGCTATTTGAAGCTTTTGTGCAAAAAATTATATGCGACTTGGGGTTTTCTCGTGCTCCCTTGTCTCTCTTGCACCAAATGAGTATTCGGTTTTTCCTATATGGCACGCAAAAAATTTTGTGAACCAAGACGAAGAGAGATTCGATGACGATGATAACGAGCAAATTTACAAATATTAAAGACCATAAACAAGTTCTTGTAATTTATCAACTTTCACCACGAACAGATGAGTTTCTATATAAAATACATATTTCGCTCAATTTTCATAATTGTATAACCGAATAATCTCTATACCTCGAAATTAGGCTTTAACTCTATGATATAATTGGAGATCCGTCAAAGAGCGAGAGAGAAAGAAAAAAGAGAGCAAAGTATCCGCCTCTCGATGGGCGACGTCTGCACACGCGCCCGAGCTTCGACGTGCGGCGGCAGCAGCCTTGGAGCACACGTCAAGGGGCGATTACTCTTCTGTGTATAGGAGAGCGAGAGAGAAGCGGAAGATATTCACAGACGTCAAACTCGTCGGCTGGGGTACAATCATAATAACACATTCTTCGCGTATTTTTGACTAATCATAGAGTCTCAAATTACCCTGGCTTATACTCCTTGGACCTTTGAATCATTTCAATCCAGTAGGGTGGGCTGGAGTCGAGAGTTATGATATTTTGTCGTCAAGCTTGTTTGAAAATTATCGAAATTCTGAAGTTTTTTTCGAGTGTTATTGAAAATAATTGTCCATTGATTATGATTAACATCAACAAAAGTCTGCTATTGTAATTAGTACAAACAGGTCTTAATGAAACGAAACGGATTTATGTAATTATAATTATGCTTAAAACTCTTTATTAAATTTACATACTACGTCGTCATTTTTTACAGCTAAAAGCGAAAAAAAACTCGAATTATCCAGTTATTCCTCAACTCAAGTATGATTAATCGAAATCATCAAAAATTATGTGTGTTTCATATTTGTTTCTATTTTATTAAGAAGAAAGCTTTTCAAAAAGTTTTTTTACATCATATCAAGGAGCGCTTTATGCTGTCTCAATTTGTACTATACAACCGCATATTAGTTTGTATACAAATAGGTAGGTGGCGAATTGTCCTTTTTTGCCTTCTCATAAACAAAGTGTGGATAGAAGTGTTTAAGTTGAGTAGGAAGTTGTACGATTATTATACGTAATTTGTCATTTTCCACGACGAAGTATGTTAAAATGACACGAAATTATATCTTTTATGGCATTTTTGCATTGAAAAATGTAATATGAGTGTCGTTGTAAACGGAGCTAATATAGAGTATCGAGCGAAAGAAAACCTGCTCCTATTCGACCTCCTCGTGTCCTCGCCTATGATAATTGTATATTTAAATTCAATTTATAATTTTAGTACACGGATAGTATAATTATCACACCGTATATAATATCGAGCGATAAAATCAAGTATCACAAGTGTACACGAGCATTGAAAAAATCGGAAGCAGTTGTCCTGCGCGCAAGAGAGCAAACGGTTTCGCAGCCTACGGCGGATGGCCTCCAGCGCCAAACCGTGTCACACACGCACACGGCGCAGCACCGATTCTAATGTAAGGACTGCGAGAGCTCGTATATAATATACACATATAATAATATGCTAACACGTCTCGAATATCCATCTTACAAAACTGATCTCCTTAATTTAACCACCACCGAGGTTATTTTCATTGAAATTCATCGTTTGGCGAATAAATTTATGCGGTGGTAATGGCGCACACACGCGCAGGAGCGGAGTTGCGGCGCGCTGTAATCGATTCGTGCCTCGCAGCGTCATCTATTAAAGACATTTATTTCAGCACCGAGTGAAGGCGAAAGTGTTATTGGACGCTCGTGACTCGAAGCCAAAGGCTGATTTTTGAAGTTTACAAAAAAAAAAGGTGAATACCAAAAATGTTCATAACATTTGGGAGTGGCATTAAAAACGTTTTCACGCTCATTACTGATGTTCATTTACTCGATTACATTTATTCAAAAGTCAATAAAGAGAAGAATTAAAATTATTACGCAATCCAGATATTCAATATTAAATCTTACGGCTTTTTAATGTCGGCAAATTTTTTGCATACTTCGCATGAAGAAATAAGAAAACCCATGCGCGCTGCAGAGATTCGGGCGACTCGCGAACAAGTGTAAACGCCAAAAGTGGAATTACATATCTCGGGATCGAATAAAAACTTAATTGATAAATCTTCGTCAATCAGTTCGGAGAGCTTTAATTGAATCTCAACCTGTTGTTGGAAGGCAGCAAGAAAGTTTGTGTTTTTCCAAGAAAAACTTGCGAGCACGCGCAAGAGAGAGAGAGACAAGTTGATGAGCTTCGATAATAGAACCGTACATACATACATACACCTATATGTAATACTAGTTTGAAACCCGCAGAAAAATTATATTGACAATTGAAATTCGTACCGGGAAAACCGGAACGTAGATAATTAATTGAATCGTTTACCTACACACATACGCATGAGTAGCTGCGAGCGATAAGAAATGCTATTTTAATGCCCATTTCCCGCGAACCTAATGAATTGTCGACTGCGTTCCGCGCGTAGCTCGGATACATCAGCTCGAAAACTGATTGAACCGTTACGTTACGAGTGTGTGCAGTCGACGATCGTTTGGAGACCTTTTTCGAAAAAGCCCCGCACAAACACAGGCGAATAGGTTTCCAATTCACAATGTGCATGTATAAAGGTAAAAGTGAGAAACAGTGAATTATAGGCTCGGGAGCGCGCGGCAAAATACAAGTAGAGCCGTGCGTGGTAGCGGCGGCGCGAGAGATAGAGATTAAAAACCAGTGGCGACAAAGTACGCCGCCGCTGCCGAAGAAATGCTGCCGCACTCGACTGTGCAGCTCACGTGTGCGTGCGAAGCGAGAATAAAAGAAAAGACGAGCCAAAGATCGTCTCTTCCTCTTTGCGCTCTGCTACTGCAATGATACACGCGGACTTGTAGGCAGCGAGGCGAGATCATGCGCGTTTAAGTGCGCATACACGCACGTACGTACATGCGCGTTGCACCGTGCACTGCTGCTGCGACGTATAGTAGAGAGAAGCCGCTAAACGGCATTCCAAGCACCACCCAACGGTAACTGCGCGACGCCCTTATCTTCCTCGCGCACAGATCTACGTCATATGT